ACTTAAATATATATTACGTATAATCTATGTATACTCCTTTTTATATATAATATATAAATATATATCAGATTATTATTAAAGGACTTTCCTTATATATATATATATATTTATATTTATTTATTTATTAAATATACATATACATGGGTAATTATCCACACCCATTAAACCCCTTATCCAAGTAGTCCATATCAGTCCAATTGATTGGTCAATTACTACTATCCATATCAAATTTCTTAAAAATATAAAAATAAAATAAATAAAAATAAAACAATTAAATTTCTAAATAAATACACATCATCACATACAATTCAATTTAAACAAATAATTAAATTAACACATTTAAATAAATAATTAAATCAATTAAACAAGTAAACAATTAGCCAAAAAAAATCAACTAAATAATTAAATGCAATTAAAATAATTTTTAAAAAATACCGAGACTATCCTTTTAAAATCATGGGTATTACAAATAATGAAAAACTTTCAATAACTAATTGTGTTCAAAACATTCCTATATTAATTAATAATAAAATGTTCATTTTACCCCAGACTTACGTAGTTAATAATATCCCTAGCACCTATGATTTTATCTTAGGATTAAATTTTATAAACTCACTTACTGGAGGATTGATGTATACCCCTACAGGCTTACAATTTTTTAAGAAAAGAACCTTTATTTCATCTAAAAATCCTTTTATTCCTCAAAAAGATAAAGGAACCATTACATATGTTAATACTCTACCTATGACAGAAGAAACGACAAAAAATTTATTTGATGTATCCGAATTTTTAGAATACGTTTCTGAAGCCTTAATGTTTCTTAGTCATCTTGATGAACCAAAGATTTCCCTTAATAATAAAGCCATATTAAAAAACCCCAAACTAAACATAAATAATCTCATAAGATTAGCCGAAACTACAGAAATTTTAGGTGAAGACCCCCAGAAACACTGGTATAAAAATAAAATTGAAGCAAAATTAAATATAATAAATCATTTTATAACTATAAAGACACAAGATAATCCTCACACCTTAGACGATCAAAAAGAATTCCAAAGACAAATTAAAGAACTATTATTACTAAAAGTAATAAGAAAAAGTAATAGTAGACATAGGAGTCCAGCTTTTATGATTAGAAATCATGCCAAAATAAAAAGAGGAAAGGCTCGTATGGTTATAAATTATAAAAGATTAAATGATAATACGTATGATGATAGTTATAAAATCCCTAACAAAGATGTTTTAATAAATCGAATTCAAGATAGAAAATGGTTTTCTAAATTTGACTGTAAATCAGGATTTTGGCAAATTCGGATGGCCGATGAATCCATTAAATGGACAGTGTTCACATGTCCTAAAGGACATTATGAATGGTTTGTTATGCCTTTTGGATTAAAAAATGCACCCCAAAAGTTTCAGCGAAAAATGGATACTATATTTAATAAACACTCCAAATTCTGTTGTGTTTACATCGACGATATCTTAGTCTTTAGTCAAACTAAAGAAGAGCATAGAAAACATCTTGAAATTATATTCAATAAATTTATAACACAAGGACTCATTATAAGCAGTAAAAAGATGATATTAGAAAAGCAAGATATTGAATTCTTAGGTTTAGACATAACAGATGGAAAGATATAATTACAATCTCATATTGTTAAAAAGATTTTAGAATTTCCTAGATAAATTAGAAGAAGCCAAGGTGTTACAAGCATTTTTAGGATTATTAAACTATGGTCGTAATTTTATTCCCAAATTAGGACAATTAGTAAGACCTTTGTATTCAAAACTCGGAAAACATGGTCAAAAGTATTTCAATATCCAAGATATAGAATTAGTTAAGAAAATTAAAACTTTAGTCTCACAGTTAGAACCTTTACAGCTTCCACTTAAAAAATTTATAAAATTATTCAAACAGATGCATCAGCTCAAGGATGGGCAGGATTACTTCTTCAAAGACCGACAAAAGAATCTTCTCGAGATGAAGAACAAATTTGTCGCCATACTAGTGGAACTTTTAATAAAGCACAATCTATTTTATCCTCAACACATCTAGAAATTCTAGGAGTAACCAACTCTATTGAAAAATTTCAGATTTTCCTTAATAAAGAATTTCTTATACGAACAGATTGTGATAATATAGTTAAATTTGCAAATAAAGCAAAACAACAACGGATGTCTGCTAAGAGATGGATTCCTTCATTGACTGTATTACTGGAAGAGGCTTTAAACCAATATTTGAACATGTCAGAGGAAAAGATAATTATTTAGCAGATATTCTCTCTCGTTTACTTATTGATTGTTAAATTTTGCAGGAATGGAGATCACAAGCATCGATAGCTATAGCCTTATACCAAGCACTTCTAATCCTCTTTTAATTATCCCCAGCTCAACAGTTCCGCGCTAAATATAATCTTTTTCCTGACCAAAAACTTATTTTAGATAATATTTGGTTTTCCAGAAACAACCCCGATAGAACCCTCGTTAGAAATCTAAACACCTTAAGTGAATATTTTGTAATAACTAATACAGCATATCAGAATTTAGAAAAGGAGCACGAGATTCTTATATCTCATTATAAAAAGTTAAATTTAGCCTATCAAAGATCAACAGAAAACCCCACAAAACTAACTATTTCTGAACAGATAACTAATGAAGATGAAAATTTTCAGAAAGTTCAATTTTTGTAGGTACAAACCAAGTATGCTAAGCTTCTACCCCTCTTTTCCTCAACTTACAGAGAAATCCTAAGACAACAAGTTGAGCTCTTCCCTAATGATCTCAAAGACCTTATTCTTGAAGAGATTAAGTGTGATGGTCTCACAGAGTGGGTTGATATCCAAAACTACCTCAAAAATAATAGTCCACCCAAAGGAACCCGATATAACTACTTTTTCCTACGATTTATACAAACAGGCACCCAGATACCTATGTCCGTTATCTTGTTAGATGTAGATCCTATTTTCTTTATTCCTTTTGAAATAACTAGAAAAACCCTTTTCTCTACCAAAACAACCATTTGTTATTTAAGCAAGCTATTAAAACTAGGAATGATCTACGTGTCACAATACCCAAAGATACGCCCTTAGACTATCTTAATTCTCTGTGTAATTTTCCCAACCGTCTAAACCAAGCCATCGCCTTTGAATAAAAAATAACCCAGAGTTTTATGCCAGAAAGTCCAATTCTCCTTCAAATCCACAGTACTCTCCCAGAATGGGTAAAAGATGGAGTGATAATTTTGGGACAGCATCAAGTTTACATTCATTCTGATCCAACTGAAGTCAAGATTCTAATACGACATGTTGATTTCGCAAATAACTTTCGTGTTGAAATTGACCCCACTACCTTTAACCATTTGGTGTACTATAAAGCTTATCGACAAATTAACAAAAGCTACAATCCTGGTTTCAGACTCTACGATCATAATATCAATATGGAAATTTTTGTTAATGCAAGAATTCCTCATGTCATTAAGTCTCCTCCAGAGATTGAAATATCCCCGGAAGTTGAAGAAATAATAAATGAGGAAAAGATGCTGTTAGAACAGCTTGAACTGGCCTACAGAAACGAAGAAACTAGCTCACCAGACAGCACTGATGAATATCTGGCTCGCATGCACAGAGGAGATATCTCACCAACTAGCCCAACCGACAGAAATTTGGATAATATGCACGAATTTTGAGCAAAAGCAGATTCTCTACAGTAAAGATAAAGGCAACTTCAGCATCCAAGAAAAAAGTCGATCCTCAATAGTGTACAGACAAAAGCAGATCCACCGAAAGCATATTTCCAACAGGAAAAGTTGATGTAATTCTCCAAAAAGACGACATCAATAGTTCAGCAATAATTCATGTCATCTTATCTCTAAAGCATCTTAAATCTCCACCATCCGTGCAGCATCTTCAAGCTCAACCGACGATTCATGCCTCTCTTCTGCTATAAAAAGAAGCCTCTCTGCTCACGAAAGGAGCATCTTTAGAAGCCATTAAGTCTCGAACCATCAAGCATCCAACCTTCAGTTTCCAGTGTGTTTTCTTTTGTGATTTCCTTCAGTATATTTCCTTTGTAACATATAGTGTGAGAGTGTATCCATGTATAAACAGAGTGTATCTATGTATATATTTTCCATGAAATAAATCATCCAATTTGCTCTTGTTCAACAATTTCCTTTTCTTTATTTAGTATTTTCAGTACTTTCGGGCAAAAGACTTCTGTCGACAAAAAGATCAAAAATATAGATTTTATTTAGCCAGACAGTGTAGATCCTAGAATTTTCATGTACTCCAACCAGTACAAGCAGCCTTAGTTTGATTTAGCAATTTCTTCTGTGAGTTGACTCAAACTGTTGACTTGTTGGCCCGTTCTTTGTCAGTGTTCATGCGTTTCTACATGACGAGCGTTATCGGGTTCGGTAGTCATTTCTGTGATTCAATTGTTAAATTGATTCTATGTTATTTTGTATGCTTCTATTTGGTCGGATCCGTCTCAATTTTGGTATCAGAGCTATACTGTTTCGTTAAATTAAATTTATATATGCGATCTTTTGTAAAGAAGTCTATAAGTCTTTATTAAGTTTTCTGTAATTTTATTTCATGATCTAAGACTTTTGTTCTATTAACATATTACTTTGAGTCATTTTAATAATATAAGTTCTTTTGTGATATAAAAGCATAAAGTGAAATTCATTTTAGAAAAATATTTCTTTTGTGATATAAAAGCATAAAGTGAAGTTCATTTTAGAAAAACATTCTCTAAGTCGATTCTTTTAGAAAAAATTAAGACTTTATTTCCATTTTAGAGGAACATTGAGGCCTTAAGCCCAAGTAATTATCCCTTTTAAACCTTTTTCTGAAATGGAACAATACTGCATAGTTCATTACAAATTTTCACACCATCTCAGAAAAGTATGCGACATTTTTTTGTCATATTCGCATTCACATGCACCACATACTACTTGGTTTGGTTTACTGAAGATCATAATAAAGAGGCAAAGCAGGGAACTCAATTCACATAATAATAATATATAAAAAAAACTAGAAATTCATTCACAGGTAAAAAAAAACATGACATCGAAAAGAAAAGTCTTTAAACTAAGAAACTAAACCACACACTGTTAACTTGCAAAGCATTCCCATATCATAACCCCAACAGAAGAAGCATCACAACCATTGCCTAATATAGTTCAGACTTTGTAGACTCCAACCAGTAGCTTAATCTACTTCTTCAATCTTGGGTCCAGCACCACCGCTTCCACCACCAGCAGAAGGACCATCCTCATCCATGGCTCCACCCATATCACCGCCAGAGCCGTACATCTTGGCAATGATCGGATTGCAGATGCTCTCCAGCTCCTTCATCTTGTCCTCGAATTCATCCGCCTCTGCGAGCTGGTTCCCATCTAGCCACTGTATTGCCGCCTCAATGGCATCCTCAATCTTCTTCTTGTCAGTCGGAGGGAGCTTGGCGCTGATCTTCTCATCCTTGATGGTGTTCCTCATGTTGTAAGCGTAATTCTCCAACGCATTCTTGGCCTCCACCTTCTTCTTGTGCTCTTCGTCCTCGGACTTGTACTTCTCAGCTTCCTGCACCATCTTTTCAATCTCCTCCTTGGAAAGCCGACCCTTGTCGTTGGTGATGGTGATTTTGTTTTTCTGTCCGGTTGTTTTGTCCTCGGCGGAGACATTCAGAATACCATTGGCATCAATGTCGAAACAGACATTGATTTGAGGAACACCCCTTGGAGCAGGAGGAATACCAGAGAGCTCAAACTTGCCCAACAAATTGTTGTCCCTGGTTCTTGTTCTCTCACCCTCGTAGACCTGAATTAGCACACCGGGCTGATTATCAGAGTATGTCGAGAACACTTGCTCCTTCTTGGTGGGGATGGTTGTGTTCCTAGGAATCAACACAGTCATAACTCCTCCAGCAGTCTCCAAACCTAAGGACAGGGGAGTGACATCCAACAATAACAAGTCCTGCACCTTCTCATTGCCTTCCCCACTCAAAATCGCGGCCTGGACGGCAGCACCATATGCAACAGCCTCATCAGGATTAATGCTCTTGCAGAGCTCCTTCCCATTGAAGAAGTCCTGCAACAATTGCTGAACTTTGGGGATCCTAGTTGACCCGCCAACAAGAACCACATCATCAACACTACTCTTGTCCATTTTCGCATCCCTCAAACACTTCTCCACTGGCTCCATACACTTTCTGAATAAATCCATGTTAAGCTCCTCAAACCTAGCCCGAGTAATTGTGGTGTAGAAATCAATACCCTCGTACAAAGAATCAATTTCAATTGTAGTTTGGGCAGTAGACGAGAGAGTCCTCTTCGCCCTTTCACACGCAGTCCTCAACCTCCTCAGAGCTCTTGGGTTTCCACTAATATCCTTCTTGTGCTTCCTCTTGAACTCTTGAACAAAATGGTTCACCATTCTGTTGTCAAAGTCCTCACCGCCCAAATGGGTGTCACCAGCTGTGGCTTTAACCTCGAAAATGCCCTCTTCAATGGTGAGAAGAGAAACATCGAACGTTCCACCACCAAGATCAAATATAAGCACATTCTTCTCACCAGCACTGCTAGCCTTTTTGTCAAGCCCATATGCAATAGCCGCGGCGGTGGGCTCATTGATGATTCGCAAGACATTGAGGCCTGCAATCACCCCGGCATCCTTTGTTGCCTGCCTCTGAGAGTCATTGAAGTAGGCAGGGACAGTGACAACTGCATTTTTGATGGTTGAGCCAAGATAGGCCTCTGCAATCTCCCTCATCTTGATGAGCACCATTGAAGAGATTTCTTCAGCAGCAAATTGCTTCTCCTCACCCTTGTAGGTGACAACAATCATTGGCTTGTCGCCTGGACCAGGTATGACCTTGAAAGGCCACAACTTCATGTCACTCTGCACAGAGGGGTCGCTAAATCTCCTTCCTATTAAACGCTTAGCATCTGCGAATCAACGAATTGACAAACCCAATAAGATTATGAACCCCAAATGTCAATGGCACGTTAACAAAATAAATTGAGTTTTAAAGACAATTTGAAGGTTTTTAGAATTAAAAAAATAAAATTTAAGTAGACTCAAATTTAGAGCTTGGATTGTAAGAAATAAAAATAGTAAAAACAGAATAAAAACGACAGCTTGAGGATAAAATTAGTTCAATTTTATATATATATATATATTGAAAAAATTAGTTCAATTACATATAAATAGAAAAGTTGTTAGAATTCTATGACTTACTTTTCTTTAATTCTATTTCCAAAACAAGAATGTCATATTACCAAAGATTTGAATTGGTTTTCTAAAGTGACCCAATTTCTAATTTAGAGAGTGGGGTTTTATTTTCATGAGCAACCATAGAAAATAATAATAAAACAAAATTTGCCAACAACAACTAGATCGATCAACAAATTTAACAGCTAGTAAGTTTATCCCCCAAAAAAAAAAAAAAAAATCCTGTAACTTTCCCTTTCTATACGAATATATAGATGTTTAAAGTAACAACACACATGCATATAAACACATATATACACCTAAGAATCAAGTGCTATTATGCTACGAACACAACACTCGAGTGAGAACTCAAATATATACTGGATAATAATAATAATAATAAAAATAAAAAAAAAGATTGAAGCCTGAGGACTTACCAAAAACAGTGTTAGTAGGGTTCATGGCGACCTGATTCTTGGCAGCATCACCGATCAAACGCTCTGTGTCTGTGAAGGCAACGTAAGACGGCGTCGTCCTGTTGCCCTGATCGTTGGCAATGATCTCAACGCGATCATGTTGCCAAACGCCCACACACGAGTATGTCGTTCCGAGATCAATCCCGATTGCAGGTCCTTCCCCTTTTCCGGCCATCTTTCTCGAGAACCGATCAGAAAAATCGAATCAAAATACTGAAAAAACAACGAAATAGCGAGCTAGAGAGAGAAAAATCGCAAGGAAACGAGTATTGAAAAAGTAATCTGATCGGAAGAGAGCGTGCAGTGGTAGTTTATATAAGGAAAAGCTATATTTCGAGAAGGTTCTCATAGTGGATTCCTGACCGTCAGATCAATTAATTTGGACGGTTAGAGATAACTTTCTATATATTGTTTAATTTCCCGCCACAGTCTCTGTTTTTTTCACTATCTAGCTGGTTCCAGAAAATTCGAGTGACGTCTTTGTGTTGACACGTCATGCTAGCGGAGGGAGATCTTGGCCGTTCGATCTCCTATGAGTGGTCCAGCTGTTGATATTCTTTAACGGTTGCAATAAACTCGTGTCCGGGTTGGATTTTATGAGTCATGTCAATACGACCCAGAACCCTCTACGTGGGACTAATCCATTAGCAGATTATTTAAAAATCATACGTAATGAGTATGATTTCATATTAGACAGATATATTTTATTATTATTATTTTTATTTTTTCCTTGTCAAACATTACAAACATTACAAAACAAAACAAGAGTACAGAAAACATTCATTGCAACCACTAGGATGTGATCCAAATACTATAACATACACCAAGCATGGTAGTTTTTAAGGTACGAATTGAAAACTTATCAAGGTCGTAGTCAATTGTCGCATCGTTTGCAAACTGCACCCCCTGAAATGTCATTGTCCATACTCCTGGACACCAATATAGCACCATTCCCCTTTAGGATATATCCAAACTTGGGAAAGCGATAAACCACCAACCCCCACAACTTCCGCATAATGGACATTATCAATAAATATCCAAGATGAGGGATGGATGATCAATGCTATCAAAAAAGGAGCCCATAAAAACCCTCAAAGAGAGAGGCTCTCCAAGTCGTCCATATCAACCAAAAAGTTGTTATACCACACCACATTTGGAACTTTAATGTTGTGCTTGAGCCATTCTGTGCTCTTTCTGCTCATGCCTTACCACATAAAAATGCACTAGGCCCAGGGCATTGATAAAAACGTTAATACCCCATAAATGAAGACCCTTCAGGTTGCAGCCCAATTGCAATTGGTACATTCACCATCATGTCCGCCTTAGCAAGAAGGCTTCAAGACCCACCCATGGTCCAATTTCTATGGCCACCCAGAAAGCCACAACTCGAACTACGCCATGGGGATTAAAATATGGTATACTTTCATATGAAGAGGAACATAGGAAAACAATCATAGAAAAAAGACAACAAAATAGTAGAGATAGAGGATTAAAACCAAAAGAAAAACAAAGAAAACAGTAACAATACCGGGATCAAAAGGAAAGATTGGCGAATAAGGAGCATCAAGCAGCCCACCATTCAAAATCGCCGATGAGACGAGCAGTAACTCACATGGTACCTTTCTTCCAAACAAGTTACATGATATTCTGCCTCGAGTAAGGATGAGAGCCATCCATAGAACACACCACTATGGATGAAAATCTAACTCGGATGAAAACAAAGAACCTCTACGGGGAAAGGAATTGAAATCTCTGATAAACGCTGATAAATAGAGAACCGATTTGTAGGACATGGATTGAAGGAAATTGGGAAATCTAATGGCAATTCGGTGTTGCTCTCTATAGTTTCATATTCGCAGTTCTGTTTTTTTTTTTTCTTCTTTTTTCTTTTTTTGGTGTCAAATACTAACTGGTTTAGACTTTAATCAAAGTTTTACGGTATTTGGTTTGGCTCCTTCAATTTCAATTTTCAAACGCAACACAGTTGATGGGGAAAAATCGTCTCCAGACACCCTCTCACTGGAGGGTGTCAATTGCTGACGTGGCATGGGTGACATGGTAGGCATGTACATATAATATTTAAGGTTAATTACACTCACACTCCCTGAGATTTACACTATTAACAACCGGATGAAAGTTAGCCTCTTTTTGAACACTCACACCCCCTATCAGAAATTGCAGCCAAACAACCCCTAAAAATATGTAAAATGACACTATTGCCCTTTAATAAAATAATAATTCTTAATCTAAAATATCAGAGTATTTAAATTGCAGCCAAACAAGTCCTCACCCTCACCTACCACTGCCGCCTCCCAAAACTCGGCCACCACAACTAACGCCACTTCTCAAAACTCCTATACGCCTTCACCACAATGGCCACTGCCACCTCCTCCCGCCATGGCCACCTTGTGAAACCGCCGCCTTAATCGTAACAAATCGTCATTCTTGTATGTGCTGAAGACGAGCAATAAACGTGTATGATGTGGAGCCAGATCAGTCAGTTCAGATTGAGTTGAATTTCGACGCCGGAGGTTTCAGAACGTCGTCGTCATCTAAGGGAAGGGGATGGAACTGTTGAGTTGGATCACCCTTTTTCCGGCCCCAACCTTTGCCGGAAGGGGCATCACACACCCACACTCACCGTCAATGCGCGTGGGGTTGCACCACCTATGTACCTTCATCTTCTTCCCAACAGACCCATAACGCAACCACCAGCCCACGTCGTCATCTTCTTTATGGCTGTCGTCACAATATTGTTGCAGCGTAAGTAATGTGATTCGCAGTCGACATTATTCCCGGGCATAGTCAATCGCCACCGCCGTTCTCCATTTCTACCACCACCACACAAAAACTCAAATAATTTATACCCAACTATGCCATCAAACCCAAACAAACCCCACAACACACTGCCACCACCATCACCAATTGCTAATCTACATATACAGAGAAACACATGCACCCAATTCCAACAAAATTTCAAAGACCTCTGACTTGGTATAATTTGTTGTGTGTGTGTGTGTGTGTGTGTGTGTGTGTGTGTGTATTGTCTATGGAATTTATTTTTGTATGTTGTATATGGATTTGGACTTGATTAAGCTGGGATTTGGTGATGGATGTATATGGGTGGTGGCGGCAGCTGTGGAGTAGTGGCGGCGGCGTCTGCGAAATGAAGGTAAGGGTAAGGGTGGTTTGGTCCAATAAAATGAGTAGTAAAGGTTAAAAATGTAATTCCAAGGTCAAAATAGGTTAATTATCAAGTCAAAGGGCAATAATGTTAATTCACTGTGTATTAGATGTGGGAGGGGTGTCTTTGTCAATTTTATCAAACCTGAGGGGAGTCAACTTTTATTTAACTGTCAATAAGGCAAACCTCAGTGGGTGTAAGTGTAATTAACCCTAATATTTACCTCATATGTATATAATAGTACCCTATTTATCTGTACAGACTTCTCCTGCCCGGAGAACATTGTCTTCCACTTCCTCGCCGCCCACCGCTGCGCCGACCTCTGCTGCACCATCCTCACAACCTTCCCTTACCTCACATCCCGCCTCTACCACTTTGACACTAACCTCAGCCACGGCAAGATCTCCGCCTCCATCCGCCGTTTCCTCAGTTTTTTCCGGTAGGGAAGAGTCTTTTTCCAGCGAACCCACAGAAGAGGAAGAACTCTTCTCAATCTCCGGCACGGTTGTGTCAGGCACATCAACTGTCTTTTCAACAAACTGGCAACCCACTCAAACACACACCGGGATTTTGGAGAGACTTGGGATATTATGTGTCGTTCGTATCTTTTCCTGCTTTTTAGAGGGAGAAAAAATATGGCGAAGATAACTAATCTAGAGAGAGAAACAAACTCATACCTATTGTCAGGATGGATGACTAGGCCTTTGAAGCCATTGATCACATTTTATGTGCTGAATTTCTTCGGAGTCAATCTGAGTCCGAACTCGTTCGTGAGCAAAGCGAATAGGCTTCCACGCGACGATTGGATTCGATCTCTGAGATGCCCAACTTCATATTCTTCATCCTCTTTCACCCCATTCATCTCATCTTCTCTTTGTCCCCTCCCAGTCATCACCACCACAATCGATCAAATCAAATCAATCAATCAATTAACCAACGAATAGAACACGTCTTTGAATCTTCAATGATTCGACATTGAAGACCCAAATCTTCGAATTAGCCACAAAATCTGTAAATTAATTGATTGTTTTAACATAAATATGAATCGATTATATACGCGTGTATATTTATGTATATAAATTTGAATATGTCGGATTTCTTGGCCAATTTCTTCTTCTTGTCGTCAGCGCCAATTGAAGACGGGTTTGAGGCGGACATCATCATCGACCTGGTAATCATGTAGGCCAAGACTTCCCGGTCCTCCAGAGAGAGAACCGAAGCTAGAGTGAGAATCGCAGTGGGGAGGAGTTTCAACACGGAGAAAACATCTCTGTTTGTCGCAGAATGAGAGGGCACAGATGAAGAAAACAAAGATGGAGATGGTTATACTTTACCTTTGTTTCTCATTTTCATGATTTTTTTTATGATGAGTGAAGGGAATAGTTGCTAATTTATGGTGGTGCAGTGGTGTTGACGGCGGTTGCAGTGGTGGTGGAGGAGGACCGGTGGTGAGGATGGTTTTGGTATATTGTATTCATATATGGTAAGTATGTATATTGTCTGCAATATTCGCATATGGTAAAAAAAGTAAGGTTTAAAAGTTATTGCTAACTTGGTGCTTCGTCATCGCTGACAAGGCAATGACACGACAAAGTAGGTTGACGTGGCTTCATCCCAGCCATTGGATCTGCCATGGACACCCTCCGGTGAGAGGTGCCATAGAGAGGATTACTGCCCCACAGTTGATTTCATCTTTTATACTAGTATTAGTATGTAGACACTAAAATTTTAATAGACATTTGTTTTAACAAATTGACCTATTAAATATGGGTCTAATATTTAATTAAGTTATTTAATTGACCAAAACTTGATCCACTTAAATTATTTAATTAGCCCATCCCAGATGATTAAATAAAAAGATAATTATTCCTAATAAAATATATTTAAAATAATTATTTTTAAAGATAATTATCATAATATAACCGGCCCGGCGCAGTTATGATTTTATCTTTATTAGGAGATGACATACGTTATCATCCTATTAATCCAAGAAGTCCATAAATAGAGGCCTGGAGAAGAAGGAAGGGGTACACAAATTCAAATCCAGAATTCCAGAGAAAAATACCGAAACTTTGCCAATACTCATCCCCAACATCAAAATCTAAAGGCGAAGAACACCAAGCACATCAAATCATGCCGTTCTTCATCAAATTCCACAATAATCAACAACAAGCACATCAAATTGTGTCGTTCTTCATCAAAATTCTACGGTGATCAACAAAAAACACATCTAAAGCCGTGCCGTTCTTCATCAAATTCAACAAATTCTCTCTGAAGGTAAAGAAAAAAAAGCACATCCAAAGTCGTGTCGTTCTTCACCAAATTTAACAAATTCTCTCCTCTTTGAAAACGAATAGCAACAAGCACATCCAAAGTCGTGTCGTCCTTCCTCAAATTCAACAAAGGACAACAAGCACATCAAAATCGTGTTGTTCTTTCTTTATGATTCAACAAATTTGACAAGTCACCACACAACACTGTCTGAGATCAAGCTTTGTCAGCCCTTGATCAGAAATCATCGGTGATCTTCTTCAATTACAAATACTTGAAGAAGATTATCAACAACCCAATTCAAGATCAAGCTCCAACAGCCCTTGAATCCAACCAACAAAGGAGATCGAATCAGAGGACAAGTTATTTCTTTTGTAAAGAATATCTTAGAGAATTGTACTCGTTTTTCATAAATTAATAAAATTCTATTTGCTCCCTATTTTGTTTTTTAATTTGCAGACTACAAATTTTGTGTGTACGTACTGCAAGTCTACACGTAACAAGAAAATTGTAGTTGGAAATCACAAATTCACAATCCTCATTAATTGCAATCATATCTCTAATTTTTAGGCGCACTCAATATTCTAAGGGCCCATTTACTAATACTTTCACTTTCTTGCTTTTGCTTTCTGCACAAGTAAAATTATGATTTTGATTTCTTGAAATGAAATAGAAAGTAAAATAATGTTTAATAATTTTTTTCACTTTCAATATTTTGAAAGCAAAAAAATAGGAAGTAAGTTTATTAAATTTTAATTTTAATTTTGCTTTCACAATTAGTAATACAGAGACATTTTAAGGTATGGAGAGAAACGCCCAATGCTACAGAAGCTGGGCATAGAAATCTTAACCAGTTTGGCATTGGAAGAGGATGCAAAGGAGATGATTGGTGGCACTGGTGGAATTCTTAAGGATTTGTTCAACATTTTCTTTGAACAGGTGATACCTGAAATTCAAAATCATGTAAGAATTGCAGCTGGAGAAGCACTAGCAATGCTGACATTAGAAAGCAAGAGCAATTCTCATCGCATCTAATCTTGTGTGTAAGAGATGGGTAACATGCTTCTTGCATCTGATATCAATACACACAAATGATTACAAACATATATATACATATATATATATACACAACCTATTTATATAGGTGTGATTCTAGTTGAATTCACCTCTATATTCCATGGGTATATAGAAAAAGTACAGAGAGAGATTGATGAGGCTGATATTCATCCCCTATAGACCATTTCCAAACCAAAAATCCATCCAACAACCAAAACAAAATCCATTAGTTCCTGTTAGTGAACCATCTATCTCAATCTCTCTCTATATACTGTGTGCCGATGCTGGAATCCATGGAAACCAGAGCTTCAAACTTGGGTCTCCCTCTCCGATGCCGGAATTCATGGACAAATTGACTGGGAATAAAACTTTGGAGTATGAATTGCTTGTGGATGCGAATTTGGGTCTCCTTTTCCGATGCCCAATTGCAGGATTCCTTGCTCATATCGTCACAGTCTCGTCGTTGTTCGGTCTGTTGATAAGTTCAGTACAGCCTCAGCTTGGAGAAACTGCACGCCGCCGCCATTCATCTACTTTCAGCCAAGTGGGCTTAGGTTAAACAGTAGAGAGAGAAACTAGAGAGAGAAAGTGATGAAGGGAAACCAACTTGCTCTTTCAAAACAATGAAGCCTGAAGGGGTTTCAATTTTCAATGGCTGATCGACGGGTGTTTGGTAGCAGTTTGTGGTGGTAGAGAGAAAAAGAAGATAGTAGACAGATGGTGTGAGAAGGGGTGATACGGGTGAGCAGTTCTGCTATAGTAGCGGAAGTAATTCCGCCGCTACAGTAGAAAAAACAAGAAAGTGAAGATTGCTCACTTTCTCTCTTCTTCGTAAAATTAAAAAGTACTTTCTTAAAACAAAAAAGTGAAAGTATTTTATTAAATATAATTTTTACTTTTAATTTTTAATTTTAAGAATTGATAATAAAAATCAGGAATCATTTCTGTTAATAAACAGGCCCTAAGCGTGTACATTCAAATCTCCCTCTCTTTCTAAATAAATAAAATTTAAATTTAAATTTTTTATTAATTAAATACTTTTTGAAGCTAAAAAACTAAATTCACTGACTAATATGACAAGTAGACGATCAATGGACTAAAATTTTAAAATTTATTATTATTTACAATGAAAATTATACTGCCATGACATAATTAACGATAAATTCAGTATTTTGATTTGATTTTTTTGATTGATTTTAGAGAAAGATGATATAGAAGAAGATCAATGGACTACAATTAAATGCTTGAGTAGTTGTGTGCAGGCCTGATTATCCCTACTATATATATATTTTTCCTTTAGTATTGTATTCTTGTTGAAATTTTCTTTTCCAATTATATTTATGAAATTTCACTATTGCCCCCTCGTATAATTTTTTGGTACCGTCTCTTCTCGAGTGATCGACTCCACAAAATTAAAAACTAAAATGATCTTCAAGAACACAAAGAGGAAAGAACAGGAGAGAAATAAAGTAAGAAGTGTAGGGCAGAAAAGACATTTCAAATCGAAAAAACAAACATTTAAAAAGTAATAAAATATCATGGGTAAAAAGGTCATTTCATACCAGGAGAGGAGTATTATTAATTAACGTTTCTCAGGTGACTAACGACCGCAGAAGTGCACGACGTAATAAAAACTGTTTTGTGTCACTAGTGCAGCTGTCAAGCTGTGTAATTAGCGTATAAACTTCATTTTATTTTCTATTTTTGAATATTATATTACTAGAGTATAATCAATCCACCAGGCAAAAGCAAACGAAAGAAAAGAAACTCCTTTCGATTATCGAGGAATTGACCAAACGACCCTCTAAATCTCGACGTGGAGCCCGGGTATTGGATAGAAACTGGCTATTTTATTTTTCTGCAGTCCCACAAAAAATACGGATAATACAAAATATTCTCTTACCATCATCTCCTTCCTCTGATCCACTCCCCAACTTCCCTCATCCCCTCTCTCTTACACATACATAGATGAGAAGCTGAAACAGAGCCAGTCACCTTCATAAGCCCTACAATTCTTCAATCCATGGCGAGAACTCTAATCTCATCTCCAGCCTTCATCGGAACGCCCCTCCCTTCCCTCTCTCGCCATGGCCTCTACAATCTCCCACAACGCAGACTTATCACCACCAGAGTCAAATTCAGCTTCCAAGGCCTTCCTCCAATTCAATCTCTCGACTCTTCTTTCGATTTCAGTTCAATTGCTAGCCGAGCAGAGGGCCTTCTCTACACACTCGCTGATGCTGCCGTGGCCGTCGATTCTGCTGCCGGTGGCACCGCCTCCGGCTCCACCGATGCCACTGTCCAGAAAAGCGGAGGGTGGTTCGGCTTTATCTCCGACGCCATGGAAGTTGTTTTGAAGGTAAAATTGCAATTGCAAAATTGCTTATAAGAAATGAACCCAAACAGAGGCTTAATCCAAATAATTGGGATTGACTATACAAATCGCATGTAGTGGCTATGCGTGTTGTCTGTTGCTTATTAAATTGGCATAAAATTGTTGTCTTTATTATGATTTGCGTGGATTTTCTTGTTGATATTTGCACAATTGAGTAAGATTATTAAACTAAAACTGATGAAGCTTGAGTGCTGTGCTTGTGCTAAGTAGCCTAAACTCCAAGTATATGGTAACAAAAAGTGTTGAAACTTCTATCTTGAGCAGTGATAAAAATAAAAAATAAAAGTAAAAGTAAAAAAAAGTCCAACTGAGTACCTAGACCACCATGAAATTTTTGTTGGAACATTAGTTCAATTCTGTCTGAGTTGATCCTATTGCAACTCTTTCTAGAGCAATTGTACAAATTCATTGATTTGGCAATAGGCTCAGCCAACTCTCTCTCTCTACGCGCACACACAATGTACGCATTCTAACTCATTCTATTCTACTTGGTGCATGGAAGTCTATGTGCTCTTTCTTCTATTCTAAATTCATCCAGAAGCTTGCCAAATTGATGAAATAGTAAACCATTAAGTAATGTGATTAATAATGCATTCCTTTATGAAATACTCTTGGAACATGCAATGTTCTAATCAGTGACATGAATTTTGGTTTTGAAAAGTTTGTTCCGCATGTATTTGCTGGTGATAGTGATGTTCTCAGTGAAACTTGGTATTGCCTGTAACTTGGTATGTCTGACCATAGTTTCTTACGCAGTGTTAAAGAGTTTTAGAAAGATTCTTGGTTCAAAAATATGTTGATAATATATACTTGCTTACTTGTATCAGGTACTGGAGGATGGACTCACAGCTGTACATTTGCCTTATGCCTATGGATTTGCAATTATATTGCTTACCGTTCTCGTGAAAATTGCCACATTTCCTTTAACAAAGCAGCAGGTGAATGTTGACTGCCTGACGGTCTTAACATAGAAAGCATATCTAGTTTTTTAATCCCTCTCTCATTGAGAAATTATGAATTCCTTATTTAGCCACTTAACTGTTTCTTCAACCTACCTCCGTCGCACCCCAAAAAAAGAAAAATGATTTATTTTTTGCTTGAATTTATTTAATGAGAAGCACTACTTGGGAGCAAATGTGCCAAGTTGCATCTTCCGTTTTCTAGTCCTGTAGATGTGTCGTTATGTTGTGCCTATGTGCTGTAGTGGACCAGTGGTACTGTTATGTTATAGCTGATAGCATTTTATTGTGTATTAAGGTTGAATCAACACTGGCAATGCAAAACCTTCAACCAAAGATCAAAGCAATCCAACAAAGATATGCGGGAAATCAGGTGAGCTTCGAATTTTAATTGTATTGCTTTTGACCATGTTGCTGTCATTATATGTGACACTTATTAAAAACTGAAATAATATGTGTAAAGGATATGCTAAAGTATTTGAGTGTGCTCCAATTATGAGGATTCTAATGATATCTTATACCACAAGCAGTTCTGTGTGTAGATATATCTTGTTGAGCTACTCCTAAAACCAGAACACCTTCATCTTGGATTGTAGTAGCCATTTAAAGGATCATCTAGCAGCAGTAAAGCAAATACTAGGAAGCAAACAATCCTCAGATATAACTGCCTGTAAATTGAAATAGATATTCTGACTAATTGCTATATGTGATCACTGTACTTGTGCTCCCTTTATCACTACATTCAAAAGTGAAAACTAACTTAAGGGAAATAGTTACAAGATGAATCTAGTATCCTGGCAAAAGCTATCTGGAAAGACTGACACTCACTCAAATGGAATGGCAATAAGTTAACATATCTTTGTGGGGATGTTGCGGGAATGGTAATTGGAGGAGACATTTTAGTTAAGTCAAAAGGAAATGGAGCAAGTCGCTTCTAATTCCATTTTGTGTAATATTTTGGAGTATTTCACCATGATTCGGCCTTTTTGGCATTTCTCCCTTGACATCTTAAATTTTATATATATATATATATATATATATATATATTGTGGTTCTTGTGCTACTTTTGTAGGGACTTTTAAACGAGATTTTTAATAAGTTAAAATAATGACTTTCTAAGCATTCTTCTTTCACATTTTCCGGTAAATCGCATTTTTTACCATCTCTTAAGGGTACGATTTTCAAGCATCTTGTTTTCCATTTATCTTCTACAAAACTCAGCCATTGGGCACCAACCTATTACAAGTCCTCTTTGCCACATAGTCAATATCAAAGGCAGTGTTATACAATATGTTTTTGATTACAAGCAAATATTATCAAGTTTTGAGGACCATCTTGATGTTTTGTTGGCCAATGTATCCCTTCTGACATCCTTCAAAGCTTTTGTATTTTAGATTGTTCTTTTCTCTATTTCTCTTTTTGAATTTCCCCTCCCCTTCTTCATGCATATGACTATAGCACATACAGACCACAAACAAAAGTGCTCATGGAATAATTGGGTTAGAGATTTTAGGATAGTAACCTAATTTAAGATTAGAAAGATATAAAATATTGTTGATCTCGAAAAAAAAAAAAAGGAGAAAGGGGATAAAATAATAAAGATTTATAGAATAGGATTGAGAGTCTCCAATTATATACCACTTAGCATATGGAAGGTATTAGTTAATGTTCTGATTTTGATGTATCCAGTAAGATAATGACATGTTTATGAGTTAACTTAATTTTGCAGTTCAGGATTATTTGTGTAACGATACATGTTTAATAAGTGAATATTATCGTATAGACATAAATCCAAACTGTACATTGGAATTCTTAGATACTTTGTTGTTCTGATAAAGAAACTAAAATGCCAACTGAAACGAATTCATCACTATGCTTGATACATAAGACAATATCAGTGGTACTAATAATTGGTTTTAAAGAAGTAATATTTCAAATGTTGTGTGTATCTCTTTTGATTTTAAGCATTCAAACTGGTATTTCTATGACCTCAATTGAAACATAGCACAGAAAGTTATATCAAAGTAAATACCTTTTCAGATTTGAGGATTGTATCAATTGGGTCTGTATCTGTGTTAAATGTTGGATCATAGCAAGAGAATCTTACTGTATAGATAATGTTGATTTTTGTTTCTTTACATGGCATTCAACGCAGTCCTAGTTCACTTGGAACCAATATTAAATCTACTGATTAGGCTGTACCTTTAGTTTCTTCTGTCTTTTCAGTTTGAAGTTTGGTGCATGGTGGTACACTTTAGAAAGAGAAAATATGTGTTGCATACTGATGTATTTGTTTTGTTATTTTCTTTTTTAGGAAAGAATACAACTTGAGACATCACGTCTTTATAAACAGGCAGGGGTTAATCCTTTGGCAGGTATATCTTTCATTTATTAATTAACAGTACATGTTGTTTGTAATTCAGTAACTATTGCTTCTCTTTTATTTGAATCATTGATCTATTATTTTTCTTATGAAGTTGATTCTTAGCATTGTGAAGTTTCAGCCAGATTTTTGTATTGGATCTTTATATATGTTTTTGAGTGGGTCTATATGAATTTTACTAGTCAAAGCTTATGAATTTATAATATGGAGTCCAAATTCTATTAGAGTTGGGAATTCTTTTTTTTTTTTTTTTTGATAAGTATTAGAGTTGGGAATTCTTAGAAAATAGTTAAACAACACTTCCACTCACTACAGGAATTTTTTTGGAGAAATGTTCTAGTAAAGTAGTAATCATTATTTGATTGTGTTGTGCAATTCAAAGCCTAGTACTGATGCCTTAGGAGTAACCTTTAAACTAAATTGCGATGTGTGAGTTACATTTTTTCTGGAAAGAGCATAAAGGTTTGGAGTTCATTTTGGACTAACACAGAAATTGGGAAAAACTGGAGTATATTTCATGACTTTCTAATACAAAGCAGCCTGACCTTTATAGGCTGAATACAATAAGATCAGAATCCAGTAAATTAAGGAATATATAATCAAATCCCTAAGATCAGAAAATAAAATAAGTCAACCTAAACTTTAATACACCAGCTATATTAGCCTGTAATTAGTACAAAATTAGACAGTTAATACTTTCCAAATTTATCTAACAATTACATAAATCACGTAATTCTCCAACACTCCCCCTCAAGCTGGGGAATAAATATCTTCCATCCCCAGCTTGCAGATAATTCTTTGAAACGCAGGACTGGCTAACCCTTTGGTTAGTACATCAGCTAGTTGTCCTTTTGTTGAGACATATGGAGTGCAAATTAGTCCATTATCGAGCTTTTCCTTTATGAAGTGGCGATCAACTTCCACATGCTTGGTGCGGTCATGTTGCACTGGATTATGTGCAATATTGATGGCTGACTTGTTATCACAATATAACTTCATCGGCCTCTTAACTGAAACTCCAAGATCCTTCAGGACTATTTTCAACCATAATAATTCACATATTCCTAAAGCCATGGCACGAAATTCAGCTTCTGCACTTGACCTTGCAACTACTGGCTGCTTTTTGCTCCTCCATGTAACAAGATTCCCACCTAGGAAGGCACAATAACCCGAGGTTGATCTTCTATCTGACACTGAACTTGCATAGTCTGAGTCTGTGTAAACTTCTAAGTTCAAGCACAATCCTCTCTTGAACAATATGCCTCGACCTGGACTAGATTTTAGATATTGCAGGATTCTGTATACTGCTTGGAGATGTACTTCCTTTGGGTTGTGCATAAATTGGCTCACTACACTAACTGCATAGGCGATGTCAGGCCTGGTGTGAGACAAGTAGATTAATCTTCCAACAAGTCTTTGATACATTCCTTTGTCAACTGGCTCATCATCAACAGCTTCTCCAAGCTTATGATTCGGTTCAATGGGAGTGTTCACGGGCTTACAGCCTATCTTTCCTGTTTCTTTCAGTAAATCAATAACATACTTTTGTTGTGAGACGAAAATTCCTTCTTTGGAGCGAGCAACTTCAATTCCTAGGAAGTATTTTAGCTTGCCTAGGTCTTTTATTTCAAATTCCGTGGCCAGTTTAGCTTTAAGAGTTTCCCTTTCAGCTTGATCATTGCCAATGACAATAATATCATCTACGTATACAATGAGGACTGTAACTCCCCCTGAAGAAGAGTGTTTTATGAACAAAGTATGATCACCTTGACTTTGTTTGTAACCCATTGCTAACATTGCTCTTGCAAACCTGCCAAACCAAGCCCTGGGGGATTGCTTCAGTCCGTACAGTGCCTTCCTTAGTCTGCATACCCTATTCTTCTTCGGAAAACTAAATCCTGGAGGAGCGTCCATATATATTTCTTCTTCAAGATCTCCATGCAGAAATGCATTTTTTACATCAAACTGCTGCAAAGTCCAATCAAAGTTAGCAGCCAGAGACAATAAAATTCTTATTGTGTTCATTTTTGCCACTGGGGCAAAAGTTTCTTGATAATCAACACCAAAGGTCTGGGTATATCCTTTTGCTACTAGCCTTGCCTTGTACCTTTCAAGAGATCCATCTGCATTGAATTTTACTGAAAACACCCATTTGCATCCCACAGTTTTTTTTCCCTTCGGTAATTCGACCATCTCCCAAGTCTTGTTCTTTTCCAGTGCGTCCATCTCAACTTTCACGGCCTGCTTCCATTCCCTGCTGTTTAATGCCTCAGACAATGTTTTAGGAACGGCTATTGAGTTTAGCTGAGTAAGGAAGGCTCTATGTGAGGGAGATAATTTTTCAAAGGAAACAAAATGAGAGAGTGGATGTTGTGTACACCTTCGGGTACCTTTTCGAACTGCAATGGGTAGTTCTAAATCAGTCTCATCAAACACAAGAGTGGAATTGTTTACCTGAGTAGTGTTTTTCTCCTGAGTGGTTTCTTTCCCAAGCATAGGTTCTGACTTTTGGGCTTGCTTCGGATTAGTCTTGCCTCCCTTCCTTCTCGAAAAAACTTGAAGTGGTTTAGTGACTACTGGATTGATTGATTGGAGTTGGATTTTTAGGAGGAGATTGTGGTTGAGATTCAAGAGATGTCACACTTGGATTTTGAAGCGGAGAAATATCAGAACTGGGATCGGAAGTAGGTAGTGAAACCTGGGAATGAATGTGATCCGGACTTGGAGAAGCCGCGGTAAGAGGGGAACCAAAGGAAACCGAGGCAGGAGTGGTTGCAGAACTTGGACTCAAAGATGATGGTGACGATTTGGGCATAAGATCGAAATCGAGGACATCGGCATCATCATCCTTTTCATCACTTGTTACCTCCCCCTGAGGAGAAGGATGATGAAAGAAACTCTCATGTTCAACAAATGTGACATCAATTGAAATGTAGGTTTTCCGAGTAGGCGGATGGTAACATTTGTAACCTTTTTGAGTTGAAGAGTAACCTATAAAAATACATTTAAGTGCTCGGGGATCAAGTTTGCTTCGATTGTGAGCATGAACATGAGTAAAGATAACACAACCAAATACCCGAGGAGACAACCTGTTTGGAGTAAGGAAGTCTGGAAAATGATGTGAAAGTGTTTCCCAAGGACTTCTAAAACTAAGACTTTGGTAGGTAATTGGTTGATGAGATGAGTGGCTGTAAGAACGGCTTCCCCCCAAAAATATTTTGGAACTTGTCTTTGAAAAAGAAGAGCACAGGTAGTTTCAAGAAGATGTCCATTCTTTCTTTCGGCCACCCCATTTTGTTGGGGTGTGTCAATGCATGAGGACTCATGAACTATTCCCTCCTGATTCAAATATGGTGAAAGAATTTGGTTAAAATATTCTCTCCCGTTGTCTGTCCTCACCCTTTTAATTTTCACCCCAAACTGTGTTTTTATCATGTTATGAAATATTGGAAAGATATAGGCTACATCAGATTTTTGCTTCATGAGAAAAGTCCAAGTTACCCGCGTACAATCATCTATAAAAATGACAAACCAACGTGCCCCAGAATAATTAGCAACCCGTGAAGGACCCCAAACATCACTGTGCATCAAATAAAAAGGAACTGATGATTTATTATTGTTCAAAGGAAAGGAAACACGTTTGTGTTTGGCAATTTCACAAATATCACAATGAAGTTGTTTCAAATCAACATTTTTAAACAAAGAAGGAAACATAAGACTAAGAGTTCTGAAGGAAGGATGACCAAGCTGAAAATGATGAAGGAGAATTTTGTCTTTATTTGTGGAGGAATCAGACAGAAGCACAGATGAACAACCAATTCCAGTACTCACTTTTCCACTCATGGGCTCGAGACAGTAGAGACCATCCTTTTCTTTAGCATGCCCAATCGTTTTCCCCGAAGCTCGGTCCTGAAACACACATGAATTTTTTGAGAAAATAAGATTGCAGTTCATATCCTTGGTGATTTGTTTGACAGATAAAAGATTGGTTGTCAATTTGGGCACATGTAAAACATTTTTAAGACACAAGGAAGGTCCTAAGGATATGTCCCCCTGTCCTGCAACAGTGACTAAATTCCCATCAGCTGTGGTGATCTTTTTATTACTTGGGCATGGTTTATAAGAAGAAAAAGATTGGGATGAGTTGGTCATATGGTCGGTTGTGCCTGAGTCGACAATCCAAGAGTGTGGGTGGATTAAAACATTATCTGAGACACTAAGAGCATGAGAACCAGAATACATACCTGAAAGTGCTAATGAACAGGCACCTGTAGGTTCTTCGAGTGAATTAAGAAGGGATCGGAGGCGATCAATGTCTTCCTTACAGAATTCTCTGCTGCTGGAATTCGGTTGATCACTGGTATTATTAGTGCTATTTTGTGCAATGTGGGCTTTTCCCTTTTGCTGCCAGCTTCTTCCTCCGGAATTCCAGTTTGATTGATCCATGTTTTGTGGCCTTCCATGTAGCTTATAGCAGGTGTCCTTCGTATGACCAGTTTTCTTGCAATAGTTACATACCAAATTCTCTTTCCTCTTCGGGTCAGATTTCTTATAATCAGTAATAGCTGAAGACTTCTTCTCCAAAGTTCGCTTACTAGTAGCGGTTGTAAGGAGTGCCGATCCTTCCAATGGCTGCGAATCCAACATAACTCCTCTCCTGCTCTCTTCAGCATGAATAGTTGCAATTGCTTCATTTAGGGAGGATAATCCTTTCCCCAAAGTCTGAACTCTTACAGTATCGAATTCCGGATTAAGGCCTGCTAAGAAATCATAGATTCGGTCTTTTTTTATGAAAGCCTTCAACAACGCAGCATCCTCACTGTTCTTCATCTCGAGAACCTGGTAATAGTCCAACTCGTACCACAAATTTTTCAGAGTGTTGGCATACTCTGTTACAGTCTTGTTCCCTTATTTTGTGGCAGCTAGCTTCACCTTGATCTCGTACACCTGGGCTGCATCATTTTTTTTCGAATAAGTTTGTCTGATCACCTCCCATATCTCTTGAGCGGTTGTCAAAAACATGACAGTATCACTTATCTCGGGTACCATAGCATTCCATAGCCATGACATGACCATTGAGTCTTCTTCGTCCCAAGCAGCAAACTTTGGATCTTCTTTCTTAGGCCCTTTTCCAAGAAGATGGTTGAGCTTGCCCTTCCCTTTCAGAAAGGTTTGAACAAGTTGAGACCACTTTAAATAGTTCATTCCATTCAGCCTATACGCAGCTTGAATGTTCTGTAGATCTCCAGGAACCTGTTGTTGGATTGTAGGTTCCTCCGATTGAGAGCTGGTTTGTGTAACCTCTGACATCTCTTTTTTCTTTTGTAAAAAACTGAACTCCAAGCTGCTATGAAATCTGTAAATGATGAAATATTTTATCCCAGAAAGAGTACCTAGTGCTCTGATACCATAACACGGAAATTGGGAAAAACTGGAGTATATTTCATGACTTTCTAATACAAAGCAGCCTGACCTTTATAGGCTGAATACAATCAGATCAGAATCCAGTAAATTAAGGAATATACAATCAAATCCCTAAGATCAGAAAATAAAATAAGTCAACCTAAACTTTAATACACCAGCTATATTAGCCTGTAATTAGTACAAAATCAGACAGTTAATACTTTCCAAATTTATCTAACAATTACATAAATCACGTAATTCCCCAACATGGACTTCAACAGCTGAACTATGGGATGCTATAACTGATGGAACCATTCAATTGTGCTGTTAAGAAAAATAGCATGTTGGTGTATATTGTGACATTTTTCCTATATTTATATATTTTGCCATTTGTGTTTCTTGATGCAATAAAAACCAATATTTCTTATAATTGAACCATTGTTAACTATTTTCTTAAGATTTGTTTGGTGTTCTGTACTTTTCATGCAATTTGTCCTTTTGCATGTACCATGTCACTGGCATTTAGTTTCCCTCTTCCGCTTCCCCCAACCCCCTATCTCTTTCATTTTTCATGATATTGCTATTCTATCTTCCAGTTGCATCTTAATTTTTACACCTGCTCTGTGTTCACAATCTCTCCATCATAGCGGTGCATATCATCTTATTTGTTTTTGTGAATGAACAGGATGTTTCCCAACCTTGGCTACAATACCAGTCTGGATAGGTTTATATCAAGCTCTTTCAAATGTGGCAAATGAGGTAGTCAAGTTCAGATTAGTTTACCTTTGAGTGATGTTGATGGCAAAAATTTTATATGCCGTATAAATAGTTTATTGCTGATTTTTGCAACATTTTTACTCAAAGGGACTACTGACAGAAGGTTTCTTTTGGATTCCCTCTTTGGGTGGCCCAACTACGATTGCTGCTCGACAAAATGGATCTGGAATTTCTTGGCTTTTCCCATTTGTGGTAATAACACCTTTATGTTCTTCAGACTCGTGAAGCTATCTTTTGCTGCTTATTTCATCTTTGTTTCATATTTTATTTCCCTTTCATCAACTTTTATTACCATCTTTCTTGTCATGAATGATTCATACAAACAATTGAAATAAACCAACGTACACATTTTGGCATTAGTAAATCTTCAGTTTTTGGTGACAAATGCATAAACTCACATCATAGTTTCGTCTCTCATCCTATTCACTGTAGTGTTTGGTAGTTTTAACTGAGATGAGAATCGATACCTTTGTTTTCCCTTGTCTTCTTTTTACTGTAAGGAAGAAAGTTAAATTTGTGGAGGACACCATCTTCTTCTGTTATGCTACCGAGAATAATTCTAGGAAGAAAAGTTTGTCAGTTTGAGATGATTTGAGGAAGATGATGAACCCAGGTAAAAGCTTTGATAAGGGCATCAACTTTGAAAAATGATAGGTAGATCTGCATCCTCAATCCTCATAGCTTTTGATTTCCCCTCAGGAAATGACTCTTATTTAATTCTCACTTGGGTGATTTTGTCCATGAGCAATTGATCTGATTAGGTTTATTGTAGGAGAGAAAAGATCATCAATTTTAGTTGGGCAAGTTGGGCGATCCTGAAGTGGAAGGCAATTGAAATTAATACTGTTGTGACTGGGAATTAAGCTCCTAGGCTATTAGGCTAAGAAGCACTGGCCTTGTCGGACATGTGTTTGACATGAACACACGGGGGACATGGCCTGGCACATGTTCGACATGGCTAGAAGTGTCCTATAATTTGAATATTTTCTTTTCTTAGCTGCACACGTCAAGGATTCCACATGCACATGACGAAGACACTTTTGTGACACTTTCAGGACATGACATGGTATTTTTCAGATATTTTCTAAAAGAAAATGGGATTCGAATGTAATTTTAAAACATGTTATAGGTTAATTAGAAAATAATGAAGGTTTAAAAAACAAAAACAATATATATCCAACTCTAAGGTGTAAATTAGGGAATATATTAATCATAATTTAGATAAAATTAGCAAAACTGATTACTTATATATATAATACTATAGTATTATCATTTTTTGACGTATCCCTCCAATGTCCGTGTCCTATTTTTTTTTATAGATTTGTTGTATCGTTGCATCCGTATCATGTCATACGTGCTTCTTAGCTCTTAGGAAAGTGATTGTAGAGATCCTCCTCCGTGGGAGAGGAATACTCTTCTGTAGTTCATTGTTATCTACATATGATCATCTTAATTGCTGGTTTTACAACCTTACAAGGGGAGAACTTTATGGTCATGGAAATTCATTGCTTACTCGCTCCTATTGCTGTTCTTTCTATCAATTTTGGCACTGAACAGGTGACATCAACTTTAAATTCAAATTCCCTGCATTTATTGGCTTCCCCGAATCCCATCTGCTCTCATTGTAAATTCCTAATGACCTAACTTCGAATTATACTATACCCATATCCTAATTAGTATTAATCTAAGAATTCCTCGCCATTTTTTATACTATGGATAATACTTATATCTTCAGTACTTTTGAAGACATCAGAGTTGGTTCTCCTATTCAAAACTTCATCAGGGTGAACACATATGTTTATGTATACGTTTGTATAAATGAAATTACAACATATTCTAAAATAGAATCATATAACTTAAATGTGAAAAGTAAATGTCAAATTTGACTAAAATTCAAAATTCCAAACCCCCCCCCCCCCCACCCCCCCCCCCCCCCCCCCCCCCCCCCCCCACACACACACACACACACACACACAACATTGGCAAGAAACACACACCCCTCCACTTTGCCCCTTTGGGTACTCGAACCCTCACCATCCACTTTGGGAGGTAGAGGAGATACCACTAGGCTACAAGGCCCTTGGTAAATTTGACTAAAAGTTGGCTCTATCTAATATTCATCCTAAAAGACTCAAATATATCATGCAAATTTGATTGTTTGTAACTTTTAGAGTAAAGGAACTGAGAAATCTGGATAAGAATGGAGGCGTGGATATTGTAGTAGAGTGGCTTACCCCCACCCCTTGGTTCCCCAACAAAAAGGAAAATGGAAAAGCAAATAGATTGTAGATTAAATTAAATGTGTGGTGGCTCTCTTAGATGTATGGGTTAGCTGAGTATAGGTGGCTTTTGTTACAACCATTGTGGATCCTTCATGCATACCTCTATTGACATTGGCAGGATGGAGAGTTTCTACAAGCCCTGAGCCTTGCCTTACTAATTACTCTTAGAGCTTGGGTTCAAATTTTGGATCTGGTTTGGAGTATTGTGGTGGTTCATTTTGTATATTTGACTCCATGAATCAGAGAAGTTTCTCCTCTGGAGATCCTTCACACATATAAAGAAATTCTTGATCTTGTATCTTGAACTTTTTTCTTTTGGTTTCCTGGATCGCATAACCCAGAAGTATACACTGTGCTAGGATGGGGTGTGGTAGACTGGCAGGCCCCCCATCCACAACACCCCCCCCCCCCCCCCCCCCCCCCCCCCCCCCAAAAAATATATATATATATATATATATAAAGAGCAAATAGATTAAATTGAATGTCGAGTGGTGCTGCTCTCTTTTAGATGTATGGGTGAGCTGAATATGGAAGTTCATTATTTTTCATTCTGCATCAACCTTATTAAGAAAAGGGCATGTATTTTGAATCTTTTCCCTTTCTTTGTCTCTTTCTAAAACTTTCAACACTTGATTTCTTCTCTCTTTTTTTGAGAAGACTACTTTTTATATGCTTCATTAGAAGATAGGTTTGATCCTTCTCTTAGCAGCTAAAATGAGGGACATTAGTAGCCTAAAAAGAAGTATACACTTAGTAAGGTCAAAATTTGACTACTTAACGTATTGCTGCTTGTGCTTTTCTAATGTGTATTCTTGTGGTTATTCTTGATGATGGATGCACATCATAGTTAGGAAGCATGTCCAGTGACATGGATAAATTGTTCTGCCTGAACTGTTTTTATGCAAACGTACTTTGAACATGATTTTCTGCTAGAGTGACCAAGTGAGCCTGATTCATTCACAGTCTCATGTGTAACTTTGTTTGTTATCCATTTTATAGGATGGGCATCCACCATTAGGTTGGCATGATACTGCAGCATACCTTGTTTTACCTGTTCTCCTTGTAGTTTCTCAGTTTGTTTCAATGGAACTGATGAAGCCTCCACAGGTGAAGAATAAGTTCTTTTTTTATCATGTACTTCTCTTTTATGTTTTTCTTTTCTGGCATTGTGCCCTGATTTTTTTTCTTTTGGCAGAGTGATGATCCATCTCAAAAAAACACGCTTCTCGTTTTGAAGTTTCTTCCTCTTATGATTGGTTACTTTTCTTTATCCGTCCCATCGGGATTATCAATTTACTGGTAGGTTCCTGAGCAGCGACTTACTTTTCGTCTTTGTTTTTGTTTTTCAAAAAAAAAAAAATTTATTATTAACACCTTATGCAAGATGAGTTCCTCTTATGCTGCATCAACAACAACAAAATAAAAATAAATTATAATAAAAACAACCCCACACTGACAAACAGTCACTGAACATGATAATAGGTAAGACACCTTATGCTGCATCAACGTTTTTCTGACATTATCTCTCCCTAGATTACCTATATGAACCAGATTCATAGGTGAATAAAAGCTCTAATATTATTTATTCTTATATCTCATGCTTGTCAGTTCTCATATTTATATTGGATACTTGAATATGTTATTTTTTATTATTACTATTATCATCATTATTATTATTTTGTACGTGGGTGTTTTTTTTTTTTTGGGGGGGGGTTGTGGTTGGGGGTGATATATTTTTTGTCTCTTAAAGTCATATTTAGTTACTTTCTGAGAAACATTCCAATTACATCCTTCTGTTTTATTTAATTATAATTGCATTATGGGGCACTAGGTTCACAAACAACGTCCTCAGCACTGCACAGCAAGTATGGTTACGAAAATTAGGTGGCGCAAAGCCTGTTGTGAGTGAGAATGCAAGTGGGATCATCAGTGCAGGACGTGCAAAACGATCAGCTTCACAGCCGGCAAGTCCTGGTGACAGGTTGGTGTAATATATCAGAGTTTGTGTTCATGTTCTTCAGCTGCATCAAAAGGTGCCTTACTGACAAGAATGGTGATCAATTCAGGTTTAGTAAGTTAAAAGAAGAAGAAAAGAAGAAAAATTTGAGTAAGGCACTGCCTTCAGAACAAGTTCAGACTTTGGCTTCTACATCTGATTCTGAAGATGAGTCAGATAAAGTGAATACAGCCAAGGTAATTAGCATTTAGTTTCTCTTATTCCTCAGAAGTTAATATTTTGTCACTTGATCATATTACCCATGAGAACCAAGAGCTCACATAAGCATGAAACCTCTGCCCATCAGAGGGGGGACCGATCAAAGTTGAATAAGTTGAAAGTATCCACCATTCTTTCTATATGGAGTAAAACTTTTATAAACTCACCACATCTTGTCTTTTCATTCAAAGATATACTAGCGGTATGTTTAGGGTGCTTTGGATCGCTCCAGTACTCATTACATGAATGCATCTTTTGAGGTCCTTCAGTTAAAATTTGATGTAGTAAAAGATGCATATAAGACCAAAGCACTAGTTGTCTTCATATGACTCATTTGCTCACTGCCCTATGATCATGACCTGGATGCACCACTGTGTATGGGTATGGTCAGAAAGAAGGTTCCCTTGCCTCTGATTAACCTATTTATCATCTCTAGGAATGGAAATGAGGTGTGTATGAAGTAGTGCCCCCTTCTCTGCCCCCACCCTATCTTGAGAAACCTCCCATCCTGTCCCCATTTTAGATACCTCCACTCCAGCCCCACGCTGCATTGTCCCACCACCAAATCTTTTGGTACCTTTTTCTTTCTTTCTTTTTTTTTTCTTTTTCCGTAGCACTATTTTATAAATAGTAATAGTAAATGAATAGTTAGAAAAGTTTATAAGAAAGTGAGAAAATAAAATAAGATTAGAGTTGGGTTTATATAGGTTGTATAATTTAATAATTGGGTTAAAACATAAATTGTAATATTGTAAGTTCAATGCACAGAGGGGGTGGGTGAGAGAGCACGTTGCAAGGGCTCTTTTTTTGTCTCCCCCAAGCCCACCATTAAACACGCCCTAACCCTGTCCCAATAGAGCAAGATGGGATGCGGCAGGCTTTTTTTTTTTTTGTTAAGCGGGTAAAATTGTCATCCCTATTCAAATATTGTCATGGTTATCAACAGTAATGGTAGGCTGGATCTTCCTCCTGAAGATAGATTCAACGCAGGACAAACATGAATATGAGTGCTACTTTTCACGAATTTGCATTTAGTGACACCATTGGTAGGCTGGATCTTCCTCCCGAAAATAGATTGAGCATAGTACAAACATGGATAGGAGTTCTACTTTTCATGAATTTGCATGCAACTAAGAATCTGGCAAATATGGTAACCCTTTCGAATGAAGGGCATCTCATATATGGGAATTTTACACTCAGTCGTTGACATTAAAGAAGGTATCTTAGTTCCGTAGCAATTGACAAAAAGCGGGAAGGAATAGTCAAGAATTTGCATCAAAGAAACATTTAAGGGAAAGCTTTTCAAGCACAACAATTTTTGATTTTGTATTAATAATGGACTGATTTTGTTGAAAGTAATCAGTGATCGTGCAAATATTAGGATGTTTTATTTTCTTAATGCATTGGACATGGACTGATTTTATTTCAAGTAATCAGCGATGGTGCAATTAGGATGTTTTATTTTTATAATGTACAACACGATAGTAAAAAATACAAATGCAGATAGGATTCTGAGTATATACGCCTTAGAGATGTGGACGGAGGAGATCTACATGAATTAATAAGTCTGATCTTTTCTTAATTGAGAATAGAGTACCATCAAATTTTATAGACCCCAATCCAAGTATAAACGAAATTCAGGAATACAGTTGAAGGTTATATTAAAAAAAATTCCGTTGATTTTCTTTTTTACCTTTTAAATCGGGAGTTTAGATATTGATTCAAGGTTTATCACAGGATGAGCAGGTTCTGGAGGAGGCATATGCTCCTCGTGGTAGCAAACAGGTTCCTGATTATTCTGGGCCAAAGAGGAGTAAGCGATCCAAGAGGAAGCGTTCGGTATGAATATGTATACTAATTTGTGTGTAGTTTCCACTGTATAGATACTTATCTTAGTGAAATTATAGTGGCCATTTTGATACCGGCTTGTTCATTTAAGGTCTACTACTACCAATGATGAAAATCCATTGTTTGTTAGATTTAAAAGATCACATTAACCATTGTATGTTTGATCTGGTAATCAACCTCACTATACTCATTATCTGAGAATTTGAAACTGTCAAACCCTAAAACTAGCATTTGTAAGAAGGGGCCGAGAGAAGAGAATGGGGAATGGGTCTAAGAAAAGATTTTATCAACTGAAGTTTGTGAGGAATGGGCTTTTCCATGTTTACCGGCTTTGACCATCTGGGCCAAGGAGTTTATATTATTCACTAGATCAGTCTCTCCCAGCATCTCCAACAACAGTGGGCACATTTATGCCCTTATTTCCATGAAGATGGCGAGGAAGTTCGCTGTGGCAATTGCAAAAAAACATAAGCCCATTTCTGCAAACATTGCGAGAAATGAGAAGGCGAAGTACAAGAACTGCTTCTCGCTTTGTAAATCAGGTACAATGCAAAAACAATTTTATGCACTACTTAGTAAATGAGTATATTTTCCTCTTTTTTTTTTTTCCCAGAAGGTGAATATAAGCATATTCAATAGGAAACCTGAATTAAATTTGCTCTTCTAGTGAGATATTTATCCGTTGAATGTGATTTTAGCAGTTGGGATACTTTGATTTAGAACATACAAGCCTTTTGGAAATGTTCTAGATGTTTTTAGAATTAAATTTGCGGAGACATTTATTACTTAAATTCTCATGGAATTTGAAGTCTTCAAATATATTCCTTTGTACAAACATCACCCCCTAAAATCATAAAACTTTTCCAACCTACACAAATGTGTCTAAACTCCACCACCTCTAAAGGAAAACACTGAATCTTTCCAACCTATTATGCTGAACGTTTCCATTCATCGATTCATCCCCTTGATGGCTGACCCCCGTTTGTACGGGATAAAGGCAAGAATGGTGGTTGATGATTCATCCCCTTGATGGTGGGCGATGATTTCCAACCGGGTTAGGAACAGATGAGGCTTTATGGTTCTTCCCCTCTTCAACCTGCTTAATGTTGTGATATTCATTTAGTTAGAAATGCTTTTGAAGTAGAAGCCAGTTGCATTAAATGAAAGACCAAAGATGAGTATTCTGAGTACTTACCCAGGTAGTTAGAATGTATGCACTGGTTGACCTAGAGCTGAGTTGTGCAGGTCTGAGCTTGAAATCAACTATGGTAACAATTGACAAAGCAGTCTTCGTTAGACCTTTCTATTCTTAAGAACTAAATCAGTAGCATGCATGTTTACTTGTTTTTTCTCCTCTTTTTCTGTACATGGTATATAGTGCAAACGTAAATAAAAGAATAGTTGATAAAGTGAAACTGTGGAGTTTGATAGTGAAGCAAGAGCAGTTACTTGCCTGATTCTGTAGCTTGGACCTCAAAGGTAATGCTGCAACGGTTTTGAAGCGCAGCAAGCAGAAACCATACCAAGAGAAGATGGATTAGTCTCTGTGATCCCCTCCTCATCTTGGGGATGAGTTGGTACAAGTTGGAAATGGATATAGAAGATGGGGGTGGTAGAGGTAAGTGCTGTTCTCAAGCATGAAAGAAAATTTCTTATTATGTACACATATATGGTAATCATAACCAAAATTGAAAACATGGAATGTTTGTTAAAGGTACTTGGGATCCTATGCCATTCATTGTGGGTTGACTTCTTTTCAGTTATCATTGCATCATTGATAAATTTGCGTGTTAAACGTTACTTTTCTTCTGAGTGCTTGAACCATCCCGTCGGCATGGGATGTTGGAGTTGGACCCCCCAATATAGTTTGCAGTGTAGAATTTTGATTTTTATCTGCTTCTAGAATCTGCTTAGATCCTGTGCCGTGTGTAGATTGTTAGTGCACCCAGATACATGAAAAGTAATTGTCGTTGCATAAGCGATGTAATGACTTGAAGACACGGCACATAATGAAATGGCACGTGGTAGGGTTAATTACATTTTTTCATTTTGAGTGCTGCTGATGCTTTGGGAAAAGTTGAAGAAAATGTTTGCGATAAATGATATATAATGAATCTTAGTTCATTATTACCACATTATTCAAAGAAAAAGAGTACAAGATGATTCTGAACTGGACTAATGTCGGTCAATCCCTTTTTATGTCAACCTAGCTTCCTTTGATCACCAAGACTCCTTTTTATAGGCAAGCACTCAACTGTGATATGTGGAGAAGCAGAATGAAAATTTTCTGCAAATTATCTTTCATAAATCATATTTATTCACCTCGGTCAAGAGTTCGAATCATCTTGCCAGCAATAAATGTTCATTGTTGCTCAATTTCACCTTGTGGAAAATATACTTCATAAATCAGGTCTCGTCTAGTTTCATTTGATTTTATAAAATGAAGCCCCTTCGTCAATGAACATACGTCCAAGTGTTTTAAGATTACGATTGATGTTCAAGAGGGCATAAATCAAGTGGTCAAACACTTCAAAAGGGAAGAACTCTCTATAAGCATTTGACAAATTTGTGATATGTATCGTCAAAATAAGTATTATTTTTCTCTCATTTTATTTAGTTTGTTTTTCTTTTCAGTCATTCGTTTATGAAGGTAACACTTTATTATTAAAAAAAAAAAATTATTGCAGTCATTCAGTTTCGTTTATCATATAATTCATATTCACTTTTACTCTTATCCTTCCTCTATCATTAATCTCAATGAATGTCTTCAGTGCAAACCAAGCACAACTTAAGGAACTATACCCAATCAAGTGGATCCAAACTCAGATTGACAAACTAAAGCCCAAATCTGATCCATCAACCTGGGTACAATACAAAATGTTTGAATGCAAGGCCCACCCAATTTTAATACACTAAAGGTGGCTGCCAACAAAGAAAATTCTTGTTGTCTTTTATTTTTTCTTTTTAGTTTAATTTCCAAAAAAAACAAAAAATTCCACGAAAAAATTGAGTTGGCGTACAATATCTTTGTTGATCTAATAACTACTTTAAAAAATATATATATGTAAACTCACACATCCGCCCATAAATGCTACTATGAGGCTCCAACTCCTCACATTTGCCTGATAAAAAGTCCCGAAGTTAACTTCTAGAAAATTCAAATCTAATCTATATTTTATTTGAAAGACTCGTCTTTCAATCAAAAAATTTTAATTTTGGTGATCAAAATTACGAAAATTTACTACTACGTATAAAAATAACTTTAAACTTGAAAAAATAAAAAATAGTCACCAAGTAGGCATGATCGTATACATGCATCATTGCGTGTGTTCATATGTGCATAAGTAATTTTTTTTTCTTGCATAAGTATTTTGTAATATTAAGAACATTCGATGTGGGTAGCACAAGTTATCTATCTACTTTTTAAAAAGTAGAGAGTCACGTAAGCTAAAAAGTGATGATGTGGTACTCTATTTTTTTTAATTCAAATGTGCCATGGTGTGGAACCAAATTATCTCATTCTCTATTTATTATTTTATTAATTTATCTCATCCATATCTGCCTTTTCCTTTTTTCCCTTCAGTCAGATTGATTAAACAAAGGAAACAAAAAATAGGGTTTTCCAAAGGCTTCTCTATCTGTGGACAAAGGCTCAGACAATGGTTGTAGGTCTCACAAGATACTCCACTTCTCTCTCTTAACTGACATAGATATACTCTAAAGAGAGTGCCGCCCGGACGCTCTAACTTGTGCACATTCTTGTGTTTTTTTGTCTTTCAGATGGCATTTTGAATAATAAACCTGTATGTGAAAGCAAAATATTTTGCTTAATTATAATACATACACATATATATATATATTTCAATGCTATGGTTTTGGACATGCTGTTGTCTGTTTTATCTTTCTCGAAACGAACGCTGTTGATAAACTAATCATTTTTAGCACATGCATTAGTTACAAAATTCAATCTGATCAAAGATTTGGATTTAAAATATAATAATTAACTTTCAAAAATGCACTTCCACTCCTACTTTTGTTTTCAATTTGGTTGACTCTTGAACCAAAACAAATGTTCAGTACCTACCACCTCAAACAGATACGGAGTACAAAATTACGTGCAAGCTAGCATTATTGATGATTTTGTGGTTAAATAATCTTTGTCTAGTGCTTTAAATGAATATCAAATTAATATATAGAAATTTCTTATCCTTTTTTAATATATATAAATACGTTTATGGTAGAGACACGAGTATAAATATTTATCACGAAATACATTGAAAACACCAATGATTTTGGAATTCTAAAATTGTCTATTTCTCTAAATATATAGAACTTTTTTCAAATTATAATAAATTTGAACTAGTATAAAATATTTAAATCACGTACTTATTAAATTATAAGCCAAATCCTATTTTTGTTTAGGGATTTTATTATTGTGAACGATGTTTATGTGCAGCAAAAAAAAAAAATTAAAAATGTTTAGGTTAGTCTAGTATTGTTCTCGAGGCTTAGAAATTTCAGAACTCTGAGATATTTTATTATAAATTTTTTTTTTCCAATACTACCTATAATAGATGTAAATAAATGTTGTTAATGTTTGCCCGAGGGTATAATGATAATCCGTTATACTTTGGAAGGAAAGTCACTGGCCTACCAGATATGAGAGAGTCAGAATTTTCGAATCAAAATCTACTCGTTTTGGAAAAAGAGGAATATAAAATAAACTTCGTTTTGAAATTCTAGTTTTACAGTTTAAAAGAGTGAATTAATTTTGATTTCACAATGCACCTACAACAAATTGAATTGATATTCAAGCAAAATTAACCCTTATTTTGCTTGAATCCTAAAATTTGCATTTGGGACAGACAAATCAATAATATCTTATTTAGGGAAAAAAAAAAAAATACATATGGATATTTTTTTATTTTAGAAGAATAAAAGGTATTTGGTTAGACACATTGAATAGTCTTTGGCGGGAGTTACATAAAATGTGTTTGACTAATCGTTGTATGAAAAAATAAAAAATAAAATAAAAAATAAAAAAAATTAGTCATTTGAAACACTTGTTTGGTATTGTCAGCAAACAATGTCTTAGAGCGTCTGACTTAAAATTTGTAAATATGGATCTCCTACAACTAACTATTGACAAAGCAGAGGAGGGTGTAAATGAATTAAACCCTATTTTATTCCGACAGCCATCTGAGTTCACATGATCGGTGTAAAACGTATTTTTCTTTGGCTATGACAAAAGTTCCAAAAGCCCACTGTACAAAAAGACACAAAAGTAACAGCAGAGCTATAATTACACTACTACGTGGAATATTTGTACAACTATAAGAGGAAGACCTTTTTGGTCAATTCACAAACATAACAAATATCACAAACAGTCCACGCCTCTCCATCTTTGTGACACTGCATCACAAACCTTATTGCCTATAAATGCCACCTATACCCACCTTCACCTTCTTCACACTTGGCTACACTCTCTCTCACTAAAAACCTAAAACCATGTCCGCCTCTTCGATTCTCTTCTCACTCTCTCTCCTCCTTATCCTCTGTACCCTCGCCAAAGCTACGTACCCGGGGATGATTTTAACCGTCGTCAACAACTGCCCCTACACCGTCTGGCCCGCCATCCAACCCAACGCCGGCCACCCCGTCCTCGAGCGCGGCGGCTTCCCCCTCCAGAAACTGACCCACCGCTCCTTCCCGGCCCCGAGCCAGCACTGGTCCGGCCGCATCTGGGCCCGCACCGGCTGCACCTACTCCAACGGCCGCTTCTCCTGCAACACCGGCGACTGCGGCGGCCGCCTCGAGTGCAACGGCCTCGGCGGCGAGGCCCCCGCCACCCTAGCCCAGTTCAGCCTCCACCACGGCCACACCGACCTCTCCTCCTACGGCGTCAGCCTCGTCGACGGCTTCAACATCCCCATGACGGTGACGCCGCACGAGGGACGGGGCACGTGCCCCGTCGTGGGCTGCAGGGCCGACCTTGTCGCCACGTGTCCCAGCAGCTTGCAGGTTCGGTGCCCTCCCGGTCACGGACCCGTGGTGGCCTGCAAGAGTGGGTGCGAAGCGTTCCGTACGGACGAGCTTTGCTGCAGGAACCACTACAACAGTCCTCAGACGTGTAGGGCTTCCACCTATTCTGAGTTCTTCAAGCACGCATGTCCGGCCACCATGACCTATGCGCACGATAGCCCCTCTCTCATGCACGAGTGCTCTGCGCCCCGTGAGCTCAAGGTCATTTTCTGTCACTAAATGGGCATGTTAGCAACAGTGCGGAGTAAGCTTAGTATAGTTACTCTGGACTTCATGTTTGGTCACTCTTTTGAGTTTCAAATGAAATGTTATTCTACTTTTGGGGTTTGAAAATGTATTCGACTTCAAGTGGTATTTCTATGTCTTACTGGGAGTTTATTTAATGAGAGCTAAATATATTCCCAAATATGATCTATTTTTCATGCCAACAGTCGTGCGCACGTTAGCAAGGAATGCGCATGTTATCAGTAGTTCATGTGTTTCACGTCTGGGGGTGTGTGTGTGTTATTTCGGTTTTGAACCAAGCATTTCGTTGAGGGCAGCAGCAAGTGCTCAAGTTTCGTATGGACAAAATTGTTGAGCGTCTGTTTCAAATGAATTTTAAATTTAAATTTAAATTTCTTTGATTTGGGGTTTGGAAATAAATATATATTTTGAAAGATTGGGGTTTTGGAAATATTGTGTGTTCCTAGACTTCCTAATATTATACTACTTGTATCGTGTTGATAATCTATAATTAAATGGGAATTTATCCAGCGGTAAAAAAAACAAAACAAAATGGGGAGCTGTGAAAGTGAAAACACATTGGTTGGACGGTCCGGATTCTTCTCGTGACGTGGCATTTTGATCCATACGATTTGTTTTGTTTTGGGGAGTTTGAAATTTAAATATTTTAGTTTGTGGGATTTGCAAGGGCTTGAATTTTAGAACGTCTGATTTTAGTAAATCACGCACAGTAATTGAGACAGCAAGGGCAGTGCTGTTTTGGAACTACTGTATTTGTCATTGCACTGGGGTAACAACAGCGAATCTCTGAGGATGGTCAGAGGCAGAGATAGGGTGGACAGACTCTGCAAAGTTGGTGCTAGCATATGATAAAAATAAAATAAAAATAAAAAAAAGAAAAAAAAAGGAGAACTTTCGAGAGAAGAAGCAAAAGATCGAATCGTCTTCTCACGTGTCCAATTATTTATCTTATCTAGTTGTTGTACCCTAAAGAGACTAGTAGTGCCAAGTGAGAGAATGGGTTTGTTCATTTTTTATTTTTTATTTCAAGTAAAACTTTAAAAGCAAGTACCAGTCCAAAGATAATTGATCGGGACCATCTCTCTTGTAATTGCTTTAATATATATATGATTTATGCTATTGCCAACAGTTTAATTTTGTGAAATAAAAAATCAATATTAGTAAAAACTTTAAGGGTTACTAACACCACACACACACATATATTTGTGTAATGAATGAAAAAAAGAGAGGGAAAAAAGAAAAGTGCGTTGCAAAATTGTCATTTCAAAACAAATAGACCCAAACAAATATTTGTTCGTATCCGACTGACCACTTTGCGAAAAGGAAAAGAAAAAGTTTTTTACTTTTATTTTTAAATGTTTTGAGAACTGTGCTTTTTATTCTTTTTTGGTAAAGCCAGCTGCTCGTCTATCAAAATACTCCGTATTTGAATTTTTCTTTTTGCCCTTTTTAAACTGCCCATCCCGTGGAGCTCTCAAAGGACTTACCTTTTCCTTTTTTCTTTTTTTCTTTTTCTTTCTTTTTAATTTTTTTATTAGTGCACGTCAAATTATACCTGAAATCCAATTATCCAGTACATTTTATTTTGTCAAATGTCATGAAATGAAATAGGTTTCTAATGTGGCACTAAACTGAAGATCAAAGATAAGATCACCATGGTCCCATGTATATATTGATTAATTTTGCTGCTTTTGATCTATTATTTATTCTGAGTCAAGCCTACATTAATCTATTATCTAATAATCACAAAAATAAAAGGAAGTTGTAATATTTGGATCTCATTAGGATTCCCATTATAATTGATCCACTAGATTGAGATATTAAAACTGTGAACGGATGTACCATCATGACCAATATAAGGCACAGGGTTCTTGTCTCTTAGATCAATTTTTGGTAAAAAGGTCTAAGTCAAACAGCCCCTTAAGACCGTTAAAAAGACCGCCGGGCCTGCTCTTTAAAATTAGCAATCCATTCTGCGAGCCAAAAATTAGGGCCCGCTTTTCAAGATTGGGTTGGAGCACCCATGGCTTGCGGAATTTGGACTTTGGGCTCCTCAAATGAGTTTTCGAGAGCTCAATGTATACGCTCCTATATAATTCAAGAGTTTAATTAGGTATTAATTGGACTTGACTCCTTTATTAATATGTAATTATAAAAAAAATGTTGTTTGACTTGTATTCTATGAACACATAAATAATTTGATAATTATAAATAATATTAATTTCTCCAGAGGTATAAACGTATTACAAAAAAAGTTCCACTTGTTGCCTCCCAATTAAATAATAAATAAAAATAACTAAGGGAAAGTAGCAACTCTTGAACTTTTCTTAGTTACCCACCCAAAATGTCCCTAGTAAATTGAATAAAATTAATAGTAAAAACTTGACTTAAGGTGTATTTGGTGAACCTTATAGAATGGACTTGGGGGAAGGAGATTTGATCCGGCTTTTCCACATTCCCCACAAAATGCCAATAAAGACCCTAATCAATTAATTGCATTTAATATGACTTTGATTTGTTTGAAATTGTTGTTGGTGCTTTATATTTTAAATTTGGGCGAATTGTAAAAAATTCTCCTTGACTATATCTATAGCAAATAACCCTCGTGAATTTTTGTAACAAAAAACTCCTCTCAACTATCATGAGGGGGTATTTAAACGAATATTGTTTAAGAAATTATATTTTGGACAAAAGTACCCCTTAAACAACTGAACCCACCACCATAACCAACCCTTGCCGACCACCACCATAATAGGCATGGAAAGGCGCTCATATCTCTTTTCCCAAAACTGAATTCATCATTACCCATAACGTCTATGTTGTCTCCAATTGTCACAGACCTCACCAAATCTTCTCTCCCCGACTCCTTTGTTTCTTCTTCATTCCTATCTTCTGTATTAAATATCGCTGGTTGACTTAATTGAGTCAACACAGAATCCCTCTAAATCAAAAGAAGTTGAGCCTAGCCATTCTAAATTGCCCTCAGACAGAGCTCTACAGAAGGTGTTGCGACGAAAATTACTGGGTTTTGGATCGAAATGATTGAACCCAGAAGCAGATTTGAATATGATTGAACCCAGGATCGAAATGATTGAACCCAGAAACAACCTCATACGAGTTGCTGACGGGGACCTTGAATATTCGTTGCTAACGCGATCCTTTCGACGTCTTTCATTGAGCCAACAACCAAGCTCTCCACAATCCTTCGCCCACGATCGAGCTATCTGCAATCACTGCCGCTGCATCGCCGAGCCCTCCCTTACTCGCCAGCCACCGATTCCACCAGCCGAGCTCGCCGCCGAGCTGGTCTTCTCACCACCGTCCGTCATCTCTACCGTCGCTTCATCAAAACCGAGCTTGCTGCCACCTTCATCATTAAAGCTGAACTCGCCGTCGCTCCATCATGGCCTACATCATCCAAAGCCGAGCCCTCTGAGCCTCCTTCAGTCCTCCAAGCGAGTCACCGCCACAATTCTTCATCATAACTGCGTCATTTACGGCCGAAAAGCTCATAGCCGAGCTTCTCCTTGCCAGCCGGTGCCGTGAGGCAAGGTCACAGCCAGTCCATTCTGTCATTGCCGCTGCACCACCGTTCTAAGTTCCCTGCACCGTCTTTGCTCACCTGTGTTGTCGATGATGGGATACTGGTTCTCACCGAAGCCGGTGATTGGGACGGTCACAGAGGTGGAAACCTTTTTTTTTTTTTTTCCTAGCAAAGGTAAACAACAGAAACAAAAAGAAAACAAATAAGACTACTAAGAAACACAACCAAGGACATTAGTCGGTGCACCCAACAAATCCAGCCGCACCATATTAACAATTTGAGACGGACAATGATCTAAAACACGATCCATCGCCACATCAGACCTCGACAACACAGCCAAAGCATGACCCACACAATTAGCAGAACGTCGAACAAAAGTCAAAAACGCTGCAAAGAAGTACCGAAGCGCCATTTGAACATCAAAACAAATAGATGCAATCTTAGTAGATCTAACAAAAGTATCCTCCACAGCTGCAACAACAACTTTAGTATCCGATTCGAAACTTAAATAACGGTACCCAAAGAAAGAGGCCCAAAACAAAGCATGAAGACAAACAATCGCCTCAACCATCATCGCAAACGAGGCAAAAAATGGGCAAAACACCATAGCTTTGAGGATAGAGCCTTGATAATCACGAAACACTGCACCCCCACTCCCACGAAGTAGCTTCAAAGAGAAACAAGCATCAAAATTACAGTTAATCACTCCCCGATCAGGCGAAAACCAAGAAGCAGAAGAAAAAGATAGACCAGCAACAGATAATTTGTGGGATTAGGACTGCGCCTCCTGAAATTCCCAAAAGCTAGCAAAAGCACGTTCCATAACTTTCTCTGGCTGCCACAAAACACTCTCAAAGACCAAATGATTCCTGGCTTTCCAAATATACCATACACAGAAGGAAATCATGCCAATAGCTACTGGAGGATCCGATACCAAACTCGCCCGATGCATCAAAAACCGCTAACCATCGACAAAAGTCCGAAAGGAAGACGAAGAAAAATAAAAAAGAAGCGGAGATAGCTTCCAAACCTGCAGAGAATGAGAACAAAAAAAAACAAAAGATGCACAATAGATTCCTCCTCCAATCCACAGCGAGGTCACAAAGGGGAAACAACACAACCCCACATCAATAACGCAGAACCAGTAGGAAGAGCGTGATGACAACATTGCCAAAGAAAATGCTTCATCTTAGAAAGAGAAAGGCAGTGCCAAACCGAATTCCAGCAAGAAGGTCGTCGAACAACTGAAGAAAAATCAAAGAGAGACGTAGCAAAAGAATATGCCGACCGAACGGAGAAAATACCCGTACGCTCAGGCGCCCAGATTTGAGAGTCCGGTTTATCCCAACGACTAATATGCAATCGCAAAATTTTCTGGACCACCAAAGGAGAAAAAAGATGGCGCAAAACACTCACATTCTATGTTTGGGACTGTAGATGAATTAAATCCGCCACAAAGTGATAAGACACATCAAACTGCGGACGAGGGAGCTTGAAAAGAAGAGCGAGAACCCAATGATCATTCCAAATATGAATTGATTTCCCATTACCCACAAGCCAGCGCAGGCCCTGACGCAAAAAAGGTTCAGAAGACCAAATATTATGCCAGCCCCAAGAGGGATTAG